TTATTTATTTATTCATTCATTCATTCATTCATTCTTTCATTCATTCATTCATTCATTCATTCATTCATTCATTCAACTTATATGCCGCCCACTCTACCCAAAGGTCTCTGGGCAGCTCACAATTAAAAAACAATTATTCTGAGACTGTAAGTAGATTTCTGTGTTATTTTTACTTGGAAAAGCTTTTCAAAAATGTAGTAGTCTGAAACTTGAGTGGCGAGGATCCCCAGAAAGGATACTTGGCTGAAAGCCTGGGAATTTCTACTGGGCTGGGCTGAAAATATTGCTTGGTACATTTTCATTGGCACATAGCCAAGGTTCCCTCCAAGCTGGGCATTTGTGCAAGGCGTGTGTGACTCCATCTTCTTCCGTGCAGCTCTCTTCCTCCTCCGCACAGCAATTGGGTTTAATTCCTTTGGTTTTGGTCATGACAGAACCCTGCACATGAGGGGGGGGGTTTGCAGTCATGTGCGCATGCAGGGGGAAGTTGCACGTGTGAGAGGCAGAGCCCCACCCAGTGGGGCTGAAAATTAGAGGGTAAGTTGCACATAGCCCCTTTTTTTGGGTCCCCCTGAGTCATGTCTGGGACACTTGCAATTCTTCTTTCCCTTCCACCCTGCATCCAGCCAACACATCCGTTGACCCTTCCTGTGGCTTTCTTCTGAATGCACATATTAAAATACTATGCCATCTGGGGGATTTTTGAGACAATTCAGTTGGGGTTTCAGCTGTTTCACCCCAATCACTGGGCAAAGTCCCACTGTGCTGTGTGAGTGTCCCCACAGAGGCAACATTTTCCTTGGCTGTTGAGTGAACCTCTCCCTTTGAGCTATAGAACTTCCCTGGGATGCAAAGCATTAAAGTATCAGCAAAGACAGGATCAGGAAGGAAGGAGTGGCAAGGGGAAGCAGGAAGGAAGGAAGGAAGGAAGGAAGGAAGGAAGGAAGGAAGGAAGGAAGGAAGGAAGGAAGGAAGGAAGGAAGGAAGGAAGGAGAGGTTATCCGCTGGAATGCAACTCCCATCACAACAAGCATGAATGGTGAATTCCCAAATCAATCTTCACTGATTGCTATTTCAAATGTAATACAAGCTTTGAATCAAAGCACAGCAAATCCAAATACAGTAGTTCCAATTCAGGTCTCCCATGTAGTCACACCCTTACTTTATATATTATTTTCTGGCAGGGGGCACCCATGATTGACAATCAGTGCCCAGTTAGGAATGGGCATAAAGCAGGGAAACACATTCTCAAAGTGCAGATCTGGCATTAATCTCCCTTGGAAAAAAAGCACCTCTAAATATAGAAGTGGTATACAGGTATGTCTAACTTTGAGCTTGGAAGATCCACTTTTGGACCTCACCTTCCGGAATGAAATAATCAGACAAGACATAGTATTACTAAAAGAAAGAAAATATTCCATTCAACATAGCAATTAGATTTTGACATTGATCACCCTGCAGTAACATTGTTCACTGAAGTTAAATCAGTCTTCAAAGGGATAGATGTGTTAATCTTTAGCAGCAAAATAATAATTACAAAAACTTGTGGTGGACTAACTGATTCCATCACTGATATGGTGAGCTTTCATGGAAACAGTCCACCCCTATTTAAGAAGGTGGACTATACAGTATTCCCAAAATCTTATGCTCTGATGGATCTCTAAGTTTTAGGGGTGCCATAACACTCTGAAATCAAATCTGTGTTTGAGGTGAGGAGGTGAATCCTGATTAGACATGTCCCCAGATGGTCCACAAGAAAAACAGAAAACATTTGCACTGACTGTGTGGTTTTTTTATTTATTTTTCAAGGGAAAATTTGTCCATTGTGTGGGTTTGTCAGGAAGCACACTGCATGCAAACTCAATAACCATTGCCTTGTGGGTTGCATGAATTAGACAAAATTGGATACACTTTGTGCAGAAAGAGATTGCAATTAGAGCTGATGGATCCTGAATATCAGAACACTACAACTGAAGTAGTTTTTCATGGTTGAGAAACCAGGTTTCAAAGAATGCTGTTCTTAAGTCCTGAAAAACAATCATCAATCAAAGCAAGCTGATCTGCAAACTTCAGGGAACATGGTGGCAGTGTGCAGTTGAGAAAATCACCTGCTGTGAGACCCACTCACAATCAGCCCTTAAAGTTTTTTGTTTGGCAATAATGTGCTATCTATAACATACCGTACATTTCTGTACTTGGTTTTCAAAATATTAGATTGGATAAGCCCACAATTAACACCCAAGATAGTAGACTGTTCTAAATTTTAAGCAATCAAGCATTTTGTACAGATTATGTTTATGATTTGAATAAATTATGGAATGCATCACACTTTTTGCATTCTAGTCTCACAATGAAATTGAGATATCTGTGTTAGAGTTCAAAAATGTAACTATATGGGGTGCAGAGGTGCTGCCCTAAAATTGAAAAGTTCTTTTAAAAGGTACCTCAAAAGAGGTGCATTAGAAGAAAAACTATTGCTTAAAAACTCAGCTGAGGATATTGTTTACAAAACAGCAAATGTTTTTGGTACAACAAGCAACTAATAAGATAACAAGGCAGAAATAGCTCATGCAGTTTTGTGCCAGTTTTCGTGGTGAAAAAAGTGAACAATAGACTGCTTATGTTACAGTATATGAAACAGAGACCAGGTAAAAAAAAAGGAAATGCATTTTAAATTGCTCCTTGAGTCAGGTTTACCTACAATGTAACTTAGCAAAGAAATATAATAGAATAGATGTGGAAACAACAATATATTCTAAAATAGAAGTGTTTACAAAATAGTGTAGAAGGAGAAAAAGATTAATCTTATTTTAAGCAGTTTGTTTAATGATAAGCAAGTAGAAAAGAAACAAAGGTGCTATTTGTTTTATAAAGCTCTAGCCTTATAATAATTACCTAATTCAGTGGAGTAACCATAAGGAGTATGGAATCATACAATATTCTGTAGCATTAATAAATGAAATATGTATATGTATTGTACCCAGTGTAATGCATTTTATTCTCAGTTAACTATGTCAATCTAAGCGCTAGCTCAAGGAAGGGGGGATTTTATTCTGACCTTGATGGCCAGAAGCTTGACAGGCCAAGCCTTGGAGATGCAAGAATCTGGGCTTTGAAAGCCCTGGGAAGAGAAAATCTTGGGAGAAGCAAGCCTTGCCACCTTCAACATTTGAGCTCTCATTGGCTAAGAATGTTTAGAGCAGACTGGATGCTTGGTCAACAGCCACAGGTCCCAGGCGAGCGCAGAGGCGGGGGGTCAGCCGCGGACAGCAAGAGCGGAGGGGCAGTGCTGTGAGGGGGCGGGGTAATGTTGCTGTATATAAATCTTTTGGGGCGTAAAAGATAAAAAAGTACCCTGACCCTGGTTTAGACTCTGAGACTGCAGTAGATTATTAATACAGAACTCTTGTGCAGTGCTGCATAGTGGAAAGACATTCTTTCTGAAGGGAAGACGCCAATGGTCTGAGAGTGGTCAGGAGCCAAAATGGACATACCATCGCTATGTATTCCAACTGGCTAAAGGCTTGATGAGAAAATATTTTTCTGTGGGTTAACAACATGCTTAGAGCTAAATAATGCTTTTCATTTTGTATTTCTCATTACACAAACTGTTCTTTAATGTAATTTAAAGTAATTTAATGTAATTTTAAAAAAGTTTTTAAAGCTTTTTGAGTTATATTACTTTTTACCTTTAAATGAAATATTATAGAGATGTATTCTCTGACTTTTTAGGTTATGAGCTCCAGTGTTTTAATGTTTTTGTACTTTTGATTCAAACATGACTAAAGTTCTTGTCTGGACTATGTATAGCTACATGATTGCTTTGAGATGTAATTTCTGACTTAAGTATTTCTCTAAAACTTAAGTTCTGTTTGCATGAATGTTTAAGTATTTTATGCCTAGAATTTTTGCATAATAGTAAGACTTTCGGATTTAAGCCTATGTGCCTACAGTTTTTCCTCATAACTGTAAGACTGAATTTTTTTATTTGCTAATTTTGAGTATGGAACCTAGAAATTATGTAAACAAATAGAACTTGTACAGAAATAAAAAGTTCTGGAATTGCCAGGAACTTCTGCAGCAATAGCAACAAGTCTTATAATCAGGTACCCAGATGAATTTGGAAAGCTTGTTACTGATTACATGGTTTCATTCTGGCATTCACCCCTTACTGGGACAATGTCAGCAATGAGTCAGCTATGACGAATCATAAAATCTGTTCTCTTTGCCTGGGAGGTCTATAAATCTTTGTAGGACTCCTTGTGGAGTCTGTTATCCTCATCAGAGGGTGGTGCATATGTGGTACAGTCCTGCCTGGCTTGAGAGACTAGACGGACAGAAAACCTTGGGAGCAGCAAGACTTTTTTTTTCAAATTTTTAGTTTGAGTTCTGTTTTTAATCACAGGGTTTTACTGCAGTTGGGGAAAAGATCCTGCATAATTTGGCAGAGAGTGGTCGTACTGGCATTATTGCTATTTTGTCTTAGGATACATGACTGCAGAAAGACCACTTCCTCTTATCAGGTATGGAGAAATCTAGAGACATTCAAAGTGCCCTGAAAGTACACTCTAAACTGCAATTAACCTGAGCTTTGGGAGTAAATATAGGTGGGACTCCCCAAAGATTCTTCCAAAATGTATGGAATTTGCTGCTTCTGGATAAGAAATTCTGAAAGAACAATGTACAATATAGAACTTCAGTTACAGTATTTCTATGAAAAAACAGAACACATAAACCCATGTCATTTTTTGGACTAGAACTCCCAGAATCCAGATCTGGAGGATTCTGGGAGAAACACTCCCAGAAAACACATTTTCCAAGCTCTGGCTACTTTTACCCTCTTGATTCGGAAGGTGTAGGCGAAAGTACAAAGGTAACACCGGAGTCCTTCCCATTCAGGAGGCAAAATTCTTGATTAGGACGGATACAGAGCTCTTCACAGGGGGGAGGTGACTCTGCACAGGGGGAACTACTTGGTTCCAGGCCTCTTTTGATGTCTATAGGGCTGCTGATCTCTCTCTCATGGGTCAGAACGCCACTGCCTCTCCCTGGCCCACAGAGGAAATTGTTGCTGCACACAACAGCGCCTTGACTCCTTTGCACAGCTGTGAAGAGGAAAGAACACAAAGGGCCATGTCATGATGGAAACACAAAGCTTCCCTCAAAAAAGAATTAAATAAGCAGGGACACCTCTGGAGGGAATCTCTCCAATTACTTACAGATATTCACAGCACACTCCCCGTCGTTGATCCTGAAAGGAAATAAAAAGGAGCAGTAAAGTATCTCCTCAGCTCTCTATAGAGGCCCAATTTACAAACCGTTTTGGCCACTGAAGCATGTGTCGTGTGGCAAAGACTGCAGAGCCACGTGTGTGCTTCTAACAGGCAGGCAGTCTCCCTCTTGGAAGGGAAGTAGTGGGGGGAGGGGGGTCAGACAAGGCCCAACAGAATCTGCTATAGCTCAGTGGGTTGGAGCACCTCACCGAGGAGATGGGAGTTCAAACCTCTACTGAGCTTTCCTGTAAAGGTGACAGCAGAGGTCATTCAGAATACATGCCGCACCAACAGTGCAGGGTGTGGCATGCCCTACCACCTACGTGGCCTTCAGCAAACTCTACAGTCCAGTGATTGCAAATGTTCACGGCCACCAACTTGGAGATAAATAACAAGAAATTGCAAGGTTAAATGAGGGAGATGAGAAAATGAGAGAGAAAGGGGGGGAGGGAAGCATTTTAGGAAAATAATGTGTGAACTTCACATTTTGCCTTGAGCCATAAATTAGGAAGGTACACCTCTCCTGATATTGCTGGACTCATGCCAGCATCATGCCGTTAGCTATGCTGGTTAGGGCTGATAGGTGACACCGTCCAAGAACATCTGGAAGGCTTCCAAGTTGCCTTTACCTGCGCTGTTTGGGGATCATAGAAAAAAGGCACCTACAGTAAAACATATATCATAGCAAATGTTCTCCTACCTTTTTTCTTCCCCTTCTCCATGGCTCTCATAGAACCTCAGTATACTGCAGAAGATGGTGGGGCTTTTGTCCCTGCTCAGATCCAGACCCTAAGTGGAACCCAGCAGTATCCCCTTTGCATTCACCTGCACTCCTCTCCTTCCAGCAGTTTCCTGTAGGTGGCGATCTCGATATCCAGGGCCATCTTGAGGTTCATGAGTTCCTGGTATTCTCGCACCTGGCAGGCCATGTCCTGCTTGGCCTTGTGCAGGGCCTCTTCCAGCTCTGCCAGTTTGCGTCTCGCATCTTTCATGGCCATCTCTCCACATTCCTCGGCCGCAGCCACCTCCTCTTCTAGTTTTCTACACTATAAAGGATGGGACAAAGAGGAAAAGCCAAAAACAAAAAACAAAAGAGAAAGAACCCACACAAGGACAAGTTGTAGAATGAACAGTATGATAGGGCGGCCTTATTTGCAGGATCAGTATCCACTGTTTCACTTATCCATGGTCTGAAAATATTAAAAATATTAAAAGAAAAATCCCCAAAATGTAACAACGAAGTAATATGTATAACAAGGAAGTTACCAGAACTGGGTAACTGAGATCATGCTATGTATAGTGCTCACTATTCTAATAGCATTTGTGATAATCTGTATTTTCCAGCATTCATGGGGGAGGGGCTTGGAACCAGGCCTAGAAATGTGAAAATGTTTTTTTTATCATGGTCTTCATTTCCTGTCAACTGACCATTACAAAACAAAACAAAACAAAACAAAAAACCAAAAAACACCCCCCCAAAAAACAACAACAACAAAACTGAAACAGGGTGTGCCCAGATGCCCAATTCCAGTTTTGATTTTTTTTGGGGGGGGGACCAGAATTTTATTTTTAGAGGGAGGCCTTCCCCACCCCTTGGTTTGAGGTGGACAAGATTAGTGGGCACAGAATGCCACTGGGTGGGTCATACGTGGACCATGGGCTATATTATACTTGCTCCTTCTAACAGAGGCATCGCAAATCTCAAATGAATACCTTTCCTGCCCATGGCCATGTCTGAACCTTCCCCATATAATATTATCACCATCGGAAATCTCACCAGTAACGGGTGGTGTGCCTGTTGAAAACTAAGCCCCCTGCTCTCCTGCACTCACCTGGGCTTTAACATTTACAGTTTCCATCTGCAGCCTGTGAACTACTCGGTACAGTTCACCCAGTTCATCCTTAGCACTGAATAGATTGTCACAGTGTTTGGCAGCTTCTGTCTTCAATTCTTGGTACTGCAGGGGAAGGAGACCAATTATCCAGCTGAGCAAAACACTGCTATGTGCCGAAGCCCCAAGGTATTATGTCTGGAGTTGAACCTGGGGATTTTTGCACACCAAACATATAATATACTGGATCCCTGAGTTGCAACTATGTTCCACTTTAGAATAACTACTTGGGTCCATTTCCCACGGAGCTTCCACTGAGTGGAAAGTCTTGCCAGTGTGGTAAGAGGAGGGTCTCTCCAATTGCACAGGTGTTGCAGTTGTGCAAGTAGAGGGTGAGCTTCATCACAAAGAACATCTCTTGTGCAATGATGTTGCTTTCACAAGAGGTGTAATCCTATGCGATTGCGCTGGCAGGACTTTGTTCTCAGCAGACGTTCATGAAATTACTGGCCCTCAGCCCCTGCCTGGTGGAGCTATGGGCAATTCTTAACACAGGAAAAGCTGTTTTAGGTGGCACCCTATGAAGTTCCAGGGTTACAAACGCTGGTTCCTCTCTGCTCCCTGGCGCATCTAAGTTGAGTCTCTGTTTCCTAGGAATTCCAGTGCATCTTGGTTCAAGGGCCAGTAGCTCAGTGGCAAAGAATATCCCACACTCCATATGGGAGGTGGTAGAAAAGAGGGGTACAAACCTGGTCTTGATACCAAGCTTCAGCCTCAGCTCGGCTCTGAGACGCAACATCTTCATAACGACAGCGAAACTCATCAACAATGCCAGCCATATCCAGGTCTCGACGGTTATCTATTTTCATAGAGATGCAGGTGTCCGAGATGCGTGATTGCAACTCACAGATTTCCTGCCAAGAACACCAAATGCATTTTGGTTGATACTTTTAAAGAGTCCTTTTTTTAAAAAAAAAATACAGCAGTACTGAGTTGAGTGCTCAGTCATTTTGCTTATGAGTTTGTTAAGCCTGACCCTCCTTCCCCCCCGCCCCCCAATACCTCTACACACAGCCTAAGTACATTTTCTTGTACGTAAAGGCCAAAACAGATGAGACAGGCAGTTTTGCCATTAGGAGGACTTAGTAAGGCATGGTCATTGCAAAGACACTTTCTTCACATCTCCCCTTTCTGCACAATCAACATGTAAACGGAGGCAGTTGTTTCCTCCAAATGGCCAATCATTAAACACAAGCAAACTAATTTGGGCCTGTGTTGCTGTGAAAGACCTTGAAGGATGATCACATGCCCTCTTCTGCTTATAATCGTTTTTACTTTTGATGATCTAGATCCCTATCTTGTCTGCTTTGGTCCTTCATTCCCCAGATTTCAGTGGGTAATGGCCTTCACTATGCTAGAAGAGCATGTACAGTATGTCAGCTTTCATTTTGCATAAGCCTTTCTGAGGCAAGCACATGGAAGCCCTTTACCACAAGAGCTAAGTAGCATTGCTAAATGATAAAAAAAGCATTGTTACCTCCTCAATGGCAGTTTTGAGAAAACTAATGTTTTGCATTAAGCTCTCCACTTTAGCTTCTTTCTTTGCCTTGTCCATGAAAGCACAGTCTACTTCCTGGGGGAAGACAAAAGTCTGTTGGCCTCAAGAGAATTGTCACCAAAATTCAATAGATAGCAGGTTCAATAAATTTGAAATGGCTGGACTTGAACTCAAAAGATTACAAAATAAAAATTTGGCATATTATGCTTGGGATAGATGGGGGCAAATCCAAAGAATAATCAAGGGTTGCTTGGCTAGAATCATAGAATCATAGAAAAGTGAAGTTGAAAGGGGTCTACAAGGCCATCAAGTCCAACCCCCTGCTCAGTGCAGAAATTCCCAATCTAGACACGAGGGCACTCATCACACTGGTCCATGCACTCGTACTCTCAAGAATAGACTACTGTAATACTCTCTACATGGGGCTTCCTTTGAGACTGATGTGGAAGCTTCAGATGATCCAGAACATGGCGGCCAGGCTATTAACAGGGGTGAAAAGATTTCACCATATTCCCCCCACTCTGGCTGCCTTACACTGACTACCTAGTCACTTCCACATTGATTTCAAGGTGTTAACTATTACATATAAAGCCCTTAATGGTTTAGGACCTTGATACCTGGCAGAGTGCCCAGTTCTACCCATATCACCCGCTCCAGTCAGGCTCGGCGGCTGAGGGGCCTAATACTAAGAGAGGCCTGGTGGGAAAAAACCCCAGAAATTGGGCCTTCTCAGCAGTGGCCCCTCGGTTTTGGAACAACTTATCTGCTGAGATCCACCTGGCTCTCTCGCTGAGGGCCTTCAAGACTAACCTGAAGACATGGCTATATACAGGCAGGCCTTCCCTACAGCCATTACCTAGTCTATCTTCCCTTTTCTTCTTTTTCCTTTTCTCTCCTTCCTCTTCCTCTTCTTTCCCCCCTTTTTCCTTTTTCCTTTCCCATCTTGGATTTTATCTTAGTTTATTTTTTTATTTTATATGTAAACCACCCAGAGTAGGCATGTTCTAGATGGGCAGTATATAAATCAAATATATAAATAAAATAAAAAATGAATACAATCAAAGCACATCTGCCAGGTGATTATCTAAGTTTTTCTGCTCTAAGAGTTAGGAAGTTTTTCCTGATAGTTAACCGAAATCTGGCTTCCTTTAACTTGAAGTGCAAATGGAACAGCCAATGGAGCACTTCCTTCCCTTTGCCCCGCCTTTCTTTTTTTCCTTCTTCCTTCCCAAGTATTTCTTTGTGCAAACTCAATTGTGTATGCATAATGGCCACTTTCTTGGTTCTTTCTTTGTCATGGTCAAGCATGGTGAAAGAATGGAACACAGAGCTTCAGTGGCTCCCATTGGCTGCTACAAGGAGAAAGGTAAGGGAGGTGCAGTCTAGAACCAAGCTGGGCAGGAGGAAGCTGTTGCTAACAGTCCCTGCAAAACATAGGATTTTCACTTCCACCCATCACCACTGCCTCTTGGAATGACAAGTATTTTGCTGTCAAATGGAAGTCAAGCGTTTATTATGGGAAGAAGTCACTGGCTTCTTACCGCAAGCAACCTTAGCATCTGGATCTTGTTTCAGATGGGCGTCAAGGACAGCATCACTAATCTGATCACAGATCTTGTCTGAAAGAGATAATTTATTCTTTAAGGAGCTGAAACATTTTTGTTTTCTTTTGTTGTTGATGATTTTATTTTTGTATTTCAAGAATGTAATCAAGGATGTATCTTTGCAGCAACTTGCCTTTTTAAGTGCCACATATTCATTTTCGGCGCTGGCTCTCCTGTTGCATTCCTCTTCAAATCTGGGAGAATCAGGAAGACAGACTTTATACATGAGTGAATAATAATAATGATGAAGCTGCTACCCTGTGTCCACAGGTCTGGGAGTTAGCCATATTAAACTCACCAGGCTTTGCTATCACTCTAGCCTGTTGAATCATGTTGAAAACAAGGTCTTCAGAAAAATAGAACCTTAGGTTTTTGAACATCTGGCCCATTAACCACCCCTTACAAACTGGCTCTTCTACCAATGTATGGGAATTTAATGTTCATAGCCCCTAGCCATCACAGTCACCAACTGCTCGCTCTTCATGGGAGTTATATTCCAGCCCATTGGAAGATGCCAGGTCCAGGAAGACTATACGTTTATCAGAGCTTGGAAAAGTCCTTTACTGTAGTGTTTCACAACCTTGGGTCCCCAGATGTTTTTGGACTAAAACTCCCAGAAGACTTCACCACGAGCTGTGCTGGCCAGGGCTTCTGGGAGTTGCAGTCTGAGTACATCTGGGGATGCAGGATTAGGAGCCATTGCTTTCCTGGACTACAACTCCCAAAATCCTATAGCCAGCATGGCTATTGGGTTGGGAATTCTGGAATTTATGGTTGGAAGGAAGGAAGGAAGGAAGGAAGGAAGGAAGGAAGGAAGGAAGGAAGGAAGGAAGGAATCGCGAAGGCTTTCATGGCCGGGATCTAATGGTTGTTGTGGGTTTTTCGGGCTCTTTGGCCATGTTCTGAAGGTTGTTGTTCCTAAAGTTTCACCAGTCTCTGTGGCCGGCATCTTCAGAGGACAGCACTCTGGGCTCTGGTGTAGTTGGCTAGGGGATGCAGTATTTATGGCTACGAGATAGGCTTTTGTCTTTTTCTGTAGATGGGTGATTAGTGTGTCTTGTTGTGGGTGTATTGTTGTGCTAAGGAGAAGAACAACCTTCAGAACATGGCCAAAGAGCCCGAAAAACCCACAACAACCATTAGAAGGAAGGAAGGAAGGACTGTGCTAGTTGGAGTGCTGGGTGGCCTGTATGTATTCATAGTGCAAGATAAGTGGCTTATATGACTGAGTTTGCCATCATATCCAGTAAAATCTCTAGGCATATACAGCATGCCACTGAAAAGGGGAACCTATTTTCAAATCATAGAATGTTTCTTTAATGCTAGATGTAGTGATTCCCAATCTTGGGTAACCTAGATATTCTTAGACACCAACTCCCAGAAATCCTGCTCCTGGTGAAGGCTTCTGGGAACTGCAGTCCAGGAACACCTCGGTTACCCAAGATTGAGAACAATGGTGCTAGAGCATACAATACCATTATCTTCCACTGCTTTCATAAGAGCATTAGGTGGAATCCTGACAATGCAGCTGCATTGAATGACAATGAATCACCAGCACTCAGGAAAGCTACTTTTCTTTTGAAGTGCGTTCCCACCATCTCCCAGCCCACACACCCATCCATGGATGCTTACTTCTTCTTATTCCCTTCCATAGTTTCCCTCCAGCTATTCGCTTCCACTTGCCACTGAGTTCTCTCCCATTCCAGGCACTCCAGTTTCTTCCTCAGCTGGCTGATGTATTCATGAAACAGGGGCTCCATGTTGCTTTTGGGGTGCTTCTTCTCTTTCAGGAACTCCCACTTGGTAATCAGCATCAGATTCTGCTGCTCCAGGTCTCGGACCTAAAGGGACAGTGGCAGCCATGACTACCTGGCCCGTTCTTTAAACAGAGTGGCCTGTATTATTGTTCCACAGGTGGCTGGTAATGCAGAGACAGGGATGTGAAATCTGCTCTGGGCTTTAGTGTGAACTTTACAGGCACCATATAAACCTTTTCCTCCTTTCTTACACAGTGGCTGAAATACTATTACCTTTGGTGTGGTGTAAAGCTACTCCTGTAATGTTTGTAGGGAGGGACAGCCAGGCAGTCCATGTTGCGTGCCTGATTGCACAACTAGTTACACAACCATGCCATCAACACTGTTTGCTGGATATGACATCTGCTTTGTGTGAATCTGAAATCTGTTTGGTCTACTTCGAGTTACGTAGACATAACTATTCAACAGGATTTGGACGAGTTCGTTCTAACACGCAATGTTGAGGAAAATATAATACTTGGCTGACATATAAAGCAAATTAACCTTCATGCTCCTTGCTGTATGACCAGCCTAATTTATTTTGCCATCTGTGCTGAGGAGCAAGATGGTGCCACCACCCTAGGGTTGCCAGATACACGGGTACTAAAAGGAGGACATAGAAAGACAAAAAGGAGGACAAAGGAGGACATATTGAATGTTTCATTTCAATCGTTCCAGAGTAAACCCACTATCAATACAATTTTACTACAATACCTGCCAATAAATGTATCTTAGTGAACCGACCAAGAAATGGTCATGTTAAAAAATAAAAATAAATTCAGTGGAGGCTTTTTTTTTCTTCCAAAATACGAGGAGTGGGCGGGCAGATGGGGGTGGGGAAAGCCAGGGGGAAGGGGGTCCTTCCACCTCTCCCCCTCCCATCCAAAATTATAACATAAAATATACAAAAGCCTGACATTTTAAAGATTTTTATCTTTGCCTGCCTGACAGAGGACATTAGGCTAAAAAGGAGGACATGTCCTCCTTTTGCCTGACATCTGGCAACCCTACACCACCCTAGTCACTATAGAGAGGCCAGCTACACTGACTGTTATGAGGGTTGTACCTCTGGACTGCACCAGAGGCTATGGGCTAGTTGCATTGGGGGGGGGTGCAGGTAGGATAGGGTATGTACTGTAGGCAGCTCTGCTTTCCAGCACAGGAATGGTTAGGGAGGGCCCAGTAAATGGGGTAGCTGTTCCACTCGTCTTAATGGCAGGACTGATTCTGCCTCAATTCATTCGGTACTCTATGTGTGCTTGTATATTTAGACTTTCTCACACTGTTCAGAAGAAAAGGTAGGCCTGGCATGTTTAGAAAAGAATGTTTCTATTGGGCAGCCAAGGCTGCAGAGAGAAGCTGCTGCTGGATAGACAGGATAAGCATGGCTGTGAGAAATCATGTGATCAGAGCATGATTCTGCTCAGGCAGAATGGTCCTGTTGACCGTGAAATGAACCCTCCATGCTCAAAAGCAGTGTAGTGCTGAATAACACTGGGGCAAAATAACAGAGAAATGCTGGTCTAAGGAAATGTAAATAATGTTGTTTGCTCCATCTTCTTAAAGCAAAATTGATTAATCACCCCCCCACACACACACACATATTGCTGGTATCTGCTTACCCTATGGTTTACACATTCCCTCAGACTTTGTGAAACAGTTTCCATAAAATTGCAAATAAACAGTTATGAGAAAGCTTATACAGTACCAAGAAAAGAAGGACTGCCGATGCATATGTTAAAGAAAGCTATGTACGAAAACATATTCATTAGGGAAAGTGATGTTTACACATGCAAATAAGGAATGAAAATAAAGGCTACATTTTGTACCTTTTGGAAAGCTCAGACCGATCTGACAATTGGATGCAACTGAGTTATAACTAAATACAGTGGGGTCTTGACTTGAGAACTTAATCCGTATTGGAAGGCGGTTCTCAAGTCAAAATGTTCTCAAGTCAAATCTGCATTTCCCATAGGAATGCATTGAAAACCATTTGATCCGTATCTGCTCTTTTCCGACCATAGAAACTAATGGGAAGCTGCTATTCCGCCTTCGACCACTAGAGGGGGATCTTTTGTTTCTTTTTTTCTTAGGTCAAGAAAGGTTCAGGGAAGGCAGGGAAAATACAGTCCAGGCAGTACAGTACCAGGCAGTCTGAAGACTGTCTCC